GTAAAACAGAAAGTATGTATAAAAAACAAGAGTCTAAAAAAATCTGAAAGGAGGGGTAGGAGCATTAGAGGGGCTAAGGGGACATAAAGGTTAGTATGTGGCAGACTATATCTATCAAATTACAGAGCGCTCTAGTATGATGAACTGGATGGTGATTCAGACTAGTTTGTGGCACAGGCATCATCTGACGAATTTTAATCGCTGCTGCGCAGAATCTGGCAACATTATATGTTGTAGCAGGGTTGGTATCTGAAAGCAGCAGGGAGGTGTAGAGTGCGCCCTGGTATTTATGCAGTAATGGTGAGATGAGGCTAGTATGAATGTCTGTGTAATATAGGCACCGGAGAAGCACATGCTCTGTTGTTTCTGCGTGTCCAGAGTCACGGGCATTGTCTCTCAGGGTAAGGGATCTTCCTGTATCGTCCTTCAAGGACAGCTGAGGGGAGGGCATGGCATCGTGCTAGAGTAAAGGCCCTCTGGTGTTTAGGTACTTCAAGTTTAGTTACGTAAGCCATAGAGGAGGCAGAGTACCTGTTGGATTCACTGGCAATAAAGGTTGGGGACCTGGCTAGAACCGGTTGGCGCTCTGTGTCTGCTACATGCTATTTGATGAGTGCTTTGGCCTGGTCATATCCCATGCTGAGTAGAAGACGTGGAGAGAAGCCCAAGGTTGAGATTTTAGTTGCTTCTACCTGTTTCCATGTGGACTGAAAATCGTCCCTCATAGTTAATGGGGCAAGGCCAAGAGGGAAAAAGGGGAGTCTGAATTGACAGTTGAGTATGGTCACCCACACTCTAGCCTTCACTTTCATGAGGCCTGTCTCTAGTCTTAGGGTGGCATTAAAGACACATTTTGGGACTTGAAGGGCCGATCTTAGAAATTTGGATTGTACAAGTTCTAATGGTGCAAAATTGGGGAAGGGGCCCAGCTGGGCAGTATAAAGTAGTTGTGCTATTGGCTTGGCTTTGAATAATTTGAGTGCTGCAGGAATATAGTGGCCACCTCTTGTCTTGAGAAATTTAAGGATGGCAGATGAGCTCCTCTGTGCATTTTCAGCAACGTAGTCCCCATGGGCTTTCCTACTGCCAGTGGTATGAAGAACTACCCCCAGATATTTGAAACAGGAGACCTGCTCAATCTTGTAGTCATCTGTGCTCCAGGAGTGGCTCTTGGGCCTTTTGGCAAATGCCATGATTTTAGATTCATGGTATAGGTTTATAGCTTCCATCACCCCCAGATTTTGTCCAATGGTTATGCTAGATGGGTACACTGTAGTCACAGGCAACTGGTAGAAGTCATGATAATGCCATGCATATCACAATGCCATCCTAATTACTTAATTTGAATAATTTGGGTGACATCATGATGAATGTGATGTCACTTTGTAGACACCCATGGTCATGAGTGACTGCAGGGGAGCAAAGTGCAAATGACATGTGTGATATCTAATGTAAATATGTAACCTGCAGCATTTTCACTGACATAATTCCGTATCAGTATTTCAGCATCATGGTGATTTATTATGAACATTGCTGGATGAGATGGTTTATTTGGTTTTGTGGCAGTGTGTTGTGCAAACTCCGCCACAGAAGACAGCAGGTATGAACCCAGTCAGTTGTGGTTTATTGAGTAAACAGTTAAACAAGCCATAGTTTAACATACAAACATTCAGATTCAATCTGGGTTCAAATGTAATACAAAGCCACAGCTTGCCTACTCATGATATACTGCAGCCATCTCCAGTCTCAGCTCCCTCCATAGTATGGACTTAAAATTCCCATAATTCTCAGCAATGGCCATATTGCCTAAGGAATTCTGGGAGTTCAAGTCGACACCTCTAGATAACCCCAGATTGGGGAAGACTAGGCAAATGCAAGCACTGTAAAGTCTACATTAGTTTGAGCTCCTGGTGGCTTCACAGACAACCAGTGGTTTTCTTGGCCACAGTACTGAAATCCTTCCCAATCCAGTGTACAGCTCTACCATTTCCTGGCGGCATCCCACCCAAATACTGACCGGAATCAATCTCAAAGAGTTCGAGATAAGCCAAGGTTGGTTAGGTGCTGCACCTAACTGGGCTGGGATGGCTAGTGAATAAGCCTCAGCTATCTGAATTCACACAACACTCTAGATCAAAACCAAGCAAATCACCTTATGGCTTATCTGTGAACGCAGCAATAATAACCACAGCAACGGGTGGTGGCGGGGAGCATCAGTCGCCATTCATCATCACGGTTTCCTGCCCTCTGTTGGACAAAGAAATATAGTTGTCTTGAATGTATTCCTCCCGCACTGCATTCTCCCCAACCCAGCCTTTCTATCTAGCCCTTCTGCAATGCAGGAGTTTCTACTTTGGGAATGCCCTATTGTGAAAAACCATCCACCCTCACGTGCAGTTTCAATGAAATGGAAAGCACCGATGATGAAAGCTTTGACTTCATGAACCAGGAAAAAAAAACACCTTTTTCCAGAGGTAGATTCCCAGGTGAATATCAGAGTTACACACACACACACACACACAAAGAACAAGACAAACCGCTATATACAAAAGCCTTAATTTTATTCCGGTTATATTAAAAAAAAAAAAAAAAAAGAAAAAGAAAAAACGATATATACAAAAGCCTTAATTTTATTCCGGTTATATTAAAAAAAAAAAAAAAAAGAAAAAGAAAAAACGATATATACAAAAGCCTTAATTTTATTCCGGTTATATTAAAAAAAAAAAAAAAAAGAAAAAGAAAAAACGATATATACAAAAGCCTTAATTTTATTCCGGTTATATTAAAAAAAAAAAAAAAAAGAAAAAGAAAAAACGATATATACAAAAGCCTTAATTTTATTCCGGTTATATTAAAAAAAAAAAAAAAAAGAGGAAAAACTGGCTTCCAGTATGAAATGCATGCAAGAGCAATTGCAAAAAGTTAAAAACAGTAAGAGGGCTAAAAGGCCACATCCCTTTTCTTCACAAAATACTGTACAACATTATCACAGCTTCAAAAACATAGGCTTAGAGTAACCCATTTCCACCCCTCCCCCCATGATCCTATGGAACAGGATTTGGTCTCTGAGCCATCACAGGCTGTTTCAGGTTGTGTAATGGAGGGGTGGGGGCAAGCACACACAAATGCTTTTATCACAAACTACTTGAAAATAGGAGTTTGATTCAATACCTATCTACCTATACTGAATTCTTCTATCACGAATCAAGGATTCTCTTCAAAACAAGAGCTGAGACATGTGGGAGTAAATCTATCTAGTGGTAACAGTGGGGCAGGGGGGAAATACTGATGGGCCAGAAATGTTGGGAAGTCGCGGAGCAGGATGGTCTGTTCTCCATAGGGACATCCATTATGCAGTTCTACTGCTCCCAGGGAATCCACCAGCAACAAGCTTTCAGGATGGCAACAGCTTCATCTCGACGTGACGCTCTTACACATAGTTCTTGCTGGGATAATCACTGCGGGGCTGAGAGACAGCAGCCGTGTATCGAGCGCTGTAGTTGTTGCTCTCTTTCTTGGGGCAACTGCAGCAGAGCAGCGCTCCTCCGAGGATCATCAAAGCCGCAGCTGCCCAGCCAAGGTAGAGGGAGGAGCCCAGCTCTCTCTTCTGAGCCTCCACAACTAGGGGGCTGTAGAACTCCCGGATTATAGTATTGGCTGACCAGCAGACGGGGATGAGGCAAAGGACTCCCGCTACCACAAAGATGGCCCCGGAGACAATGATGATCCGTGCCTTGACGTCTTCCTCCTCCACGCAGTTGGTGCATTTGGCGCCCACAATGCCAACCATCAGGGCGAAGAGGGCCAGAAGCACGGAGATGACCATGAGAGCCCGGGCGGTTTGCATATCCTGAGGCAGAGCCAGCATGGAGTCATAGACCTTGCATTGCATCTGGCCGGTGCTCTGCACGACGCAGCTCATCCACAGCCCCTCCCAGGTGATCTGAGCTGTCACAATGTTAGTACCGATGAAAGCCGTGACCTTCCACATAGGCAGGGCACACGTGATGATGGCCCCAATCCAGCCCACTACAGAGAGGGCCATGCCCATGATTTGAAAAGCAGCCGAGACCATGGTTCAGTGTAGGCAGTCCTGGAGGGGGACAAGAATTTTATGAAATGTTAGTCTAATATCACAGTGCATCAGATAACTACATTTAATATTTGGCAGGGAATATTTAATAATATGTGCAGCCTGAATTGTCAACTGGATTTCCACCGTTTTGAAACAGGGAACACATAAAACCATTAACAGGAGTCCAAAATAACCTTACACAAACAAACAAAGAACCAAAAAACCAGGAAAATTCAGTCAAATTTATTTTCATGATGTAACCTACCTACTTTGCATCCAGGGCATGGGGGGGCGGGGTTTCAATTGCCCAGTCACATCTATCCTTTTGATGTCACGGACCCCCACCTCACAGATGCTGCTGTTTGCAATCACTGCCCCTTGCAGTTTAGCCTCTCTTCTGCATATTGTTGAAGTATTAGCCCCCATAAAAGGATGTTCAGTTCTGCTGTAGGGAGCAGGCCACGTTCCATTTGGCACCCACAATTTTCCCTATACAGCCTCTGATTTAGTGTAAAATCCCAAATTTTGCTGATGGACACTAGTTTAGCTACTGTTTCAGAGTGGGATTAGACTAGTCCAGTGTTTCTCAACCTTGGCAGCTTGAAGATGTGTGGACTTCAACTCCCAGAATTCCCCAGCCAAAAGACAGAATTCTGGGAGTTGAAGTCCACACATCTTCAAAGCTGCCAAGATTGAGAAACACTGGACTAGAGGATCCCACCACAGACATTACTGGAGTATAACTCACATTACTCCCCAGCAGCATGGCCCAAGGTCAGAGTAGTGCAAGTTACCATGCACACATCTGAAGACCCAAGGCAGGAGAGGTCCATCAGCTACCATAAACTGGAAGAGATAAGACCAAGCTTTGCGTTCACCAAGTTCCTGCTGGTGGAGAGAAACAGGGGTTAGTCAATGCTTTTGAATCCTGCCTTTGGTTTCTAGACATATTTTGAAACCATACTCCAACACTTCTGGAGACCAACAGGCTGGGGAGGCTGACCTAAATCCAGGTTAAGAGAAATCCCTAGTCTAACCGAGTAAAGCCTCTCTAGGGCAAATAATTGAGAGCCTAGAGAAACATAGTAAAACTGGAGACCGCTAATCTAAATTTCAGACAAATAGAAAGTTAATGAAGAGATCATCTGAGCCGACCATGGTGGAAGTTACAGAGCCCATTGTGCTGGTGTTGCAGGCAAAGCCAGTTTTCCCTGGCCACCCTCCCCCCAGTGCTAAGGATTAGCTGCTTGCATTATATAACCCGTTTCCCAAGCAAACTAAGAATCTATCACTCATCCCATGGCCTACCCATCATAGGGGTTTAAATATTAGGGGGAGCGGACAATCAACTCTTGTGAGCCTGTGCAAGCTGGCTCCAGCACACCACTAGATACAAGTCTATCCAGAAAACAAATCTAACAATGACAATTCTGAGATAAATGGCTGAGTCAAGAGGGATTTGGACCTAGTTTCCCCAATCAAAGGCCAACATCTTAAACACCACTAATTAAGGCTCAGTCATTTCACTGTAAGAATGTAACCTGCAAAATTTGGGGGCTTGATCACATGCCATGCAAAGTCATTGTTCTACCATTCTTGGAGCAAACCCTGTGCTCCACAATTCAGCAATTTGCCTTCTCTTTAGTTTGCAAATGAATCTGTAGTTGCATCCCAGGCACAAATGTTGCTTTTCTTATTCTCCTCCTCCACCACCACCACCACCACCCAGTCAAGCCAACATTTAAATCGGGTTTATAATTCTCTTTCAGAGATGCAGAATAAATCAGAATCTTCCACTTCTGCTGTAGTTGCAAACTAAAAAGTGTTTAAAAGTCCGATCATGGAAGGAGATAGGGATGTATGTATGTGAGCACAAGGGTCTCCCTCAAAGTGTCATTCTCATTTCTCTGGATTGGCATTATATCCACCTGATCCTATAGCTGATGACTTAAAATGCTAATTTTGTCATTTTGCCAAGCATATGTTAAATTCTTCAAGGCGATACTTGCACACTTTCCCCATGAATCACACCTCAGAATCATGTCCAAATTACCAAATCAGCTATAAGAGTTTCAACAGTTTATAATCTCTGTGGCTGTGTGACCTATCCCCTGGTTTTCGACACATCCTGCTGATTAATTCTTTTGGAGAACTAAAAAGCTTTGCATAATTTTGATTGAGCTTAATAGTTATCGTTGCTGTTATGGTCTTTCAAGTCAGCCCGGCACCTGATGACTTTTTCTTGGCCAAGAAGTGGTTTGCCATGACCTTCTTCCTAGGGCACAAAAAGAGTCACTGGCCCAAAGTCACCCAGCTGGTTTTATGCTTCCAGGAGGACTAGAACTCAGGTTTCCCTGCTCCTAGTCCAGCATCTTTATTAATTGTAATTCTTCAGTCATAAGAATTCCAAAGTTCTAGAGCACAAACTTATTGTCAGTTTTAATTCAGGAAGGAATGTTTGTTCACTGAAGTATTAGGATCTCAGATTATGTAGGTTATAGGTTTGCTAAAGATGGAGAATTAAAGATTTGAGGTATGACATTTGAGTATTTTACTAACATCATCAGCCAAGTGGGAAATAGCAGTTAACACTTGCTGCAACTGTTAACATAAGAAAATGGAGAGATCACTGGGTTTATACACAAGTCATGATTTCTTTTACCATGGTTAATTATATAAATCGCCACGGCAGGGGTCACACATGATAGGAAGCTATAGCCAAACAAACCACACCATGGCATACTGCAATATAAACGTAACCAGTGACTTGGATTTTTGCAAGCTTTGAAAACAACAGTTTAATCCTAAACGTAACACAACCTTCTACCCATCTCCCGCCCCAAGCAAGTTCCTGAACTTTCCAACTTTGGAATCAGTTTAATAAGTGGGTAGGAAAGGTAGCCAAGTGGGTGAACCTTTTTTTTTTTCCTGAAAAGACGAAAATTGGTTTTTGTAAGTCCTGTTCCCATCTGACTCAGGAAACAGCCTAAGGGAGGAGGTAAAAAGAGGTTTTGCTTCCAATACAAGGTTGATCCCAACTCATCACTCATACAATTGTTCCAAGACCAGCTCTGGCCCTGTAAAACTCAGCCACTAGTTTTTTTGTTTTGTTTTCTTTATCTCATCATGAATAGGAGCTTTTCAAATCTTCCTCCAATTAGTCAGGTACCTAGAATATCAATGGCTCTTGTGCAATTAGCTCTTCTCTCCCACAGCTTTGCTCGCAAGAGGTCAAAGATAGTTGCACGATGTGCTGTCTCAATAACTGCATCCTGCATCATCCCTTGCCCCCAGGGCTGCATGGGAGTCATCTGGAGTTTGTTGGCAACATTAAGTAGAGGAAATAACAGGTATTTATCAACCTTTCACCTGGCCATTAGGCAAGAGGTACATACCTAGCCAGAGGCTTTCTCCTTTCCCTTTCTTGAAAATGGTCAACCCGGCTTAACCTGAGTTTGGTCCTTGACTTCCAACCCACCCCCTTAACCCTAAAGCTTCTTTCACACAATGGACTCATATAATTTACTTGGTTTGGGATTAGCGTACTGGATTAGCGAACTCAGCCATTGGCTAAACAGGTTCTGTGAATGTAGCCAACTGTGGTTTATTCAAAAACCAATGTTAAACAAACCAAGGATTAGCCCAATGTGTAAACCCAACCTCATCAATTCCAGGCAAAGTGTGCTACAGCAGGCTGCTGAAACAAAAACCACACAGCAGGGCAAGAGAAAGACAGAACTAGGTTTGCCTGCAAATTCCCTTTCTCATACAAAAAATGAATTTTTAGGGAAGAGTTCCTCTAGCCAGGCATCCTCAAGATGTGTTTGATGTGACACTTAAGATCAGCAGTCTGATGATCCTTGTTGCTGAGACTTCAGGATGATGCTAAGTGAAGGGAAACCTGATTAAGTGTTCTGAGGTTCTCAGAACTCTTTTGTTCTGCTTTTCCATATTGGCTGCTCTGAACTATTTTTTGACGTCAGTATCAGGCGGTTATAGCTCAGGGATCTTGAGGGAAAAGAAAACAGATCCTGCAGGTCAACAGCCCATCCCTGTGCTACTGTGCAAGAACACCAACCCAAGATTTTATAAAAACAATACATAGAGACAAATAACATTGGTTGAAAGCCATGTTTTGGATGAACTTTTTGGGATTGGGGTAGATAACAAGAAACTTTATCCTGGTAACCTATGCAAATGGCACCCCTAGAAAAATATGTCCCAAGTACACAAAACTAGGAGTCCTGTAAGCCGAGCATTCGAGATTTTTATTTTACTTTAAAACTGCCATATTGAGCTGTATCTGGCTCAGTACGCTCTTCATATGCTTAAAATTATCACCATCTTCACTTAGAACCAGAATAAAACTGCAGAAAAATCAGGATGGGACTGGTGTACATCACCATCCAAGCAAGTAAACCTTGGGCTTGAAACACTTTCCAAATATAAAATGAAGACCAACTACAAAAGCCAGTTCTTCTGTTTCACTTGACAGCAAAATTTGTATCAGCTGAGATAGAGAGAACAGAAAAAAAAAAAAAAAAGGCTGGAAAACAACAATAACGCTATCTTAAAAGGTCCACCTATTATTATCGTTGTTTTCTTACAAAACTGACCACTCAAAAAAACTGCGGTGTGAGGGCAAACGGCACATATTTAAAGAAAGCCTAAGAATATGACATCCTTGAACCCTGGAATGTTAAAACCAACAAACGTCTACATTGCCAATTCCATCTGTCTCATCCCCCTATGGCAGGCTATTTGCAATGTCTTATTCAAGCAAAATCACCTTTTTTTTCTAGTTTGGGTGTTTTCCTAATTGTTTTCCTTGTTCCGAGATTTTGCAACCCATAGTCAGGACATGACAAGCAACACCCCAAGATCAGGCTGCCCCAAATCAATGGGCAGAAGGCCTAATTTTTTTTGCATGCCCCAGGTTTTAAATCTTTCTCTTCAATGCTGAGATTGGGAATGGAAGCAGAGGGACTCTGTGAGGTAAACAGTTTCCACTGCCATCTTTCACCTCCTTCAAAGCCCTTGCCAAAGGCTTGCAATTAAGCTATTTTATTGATGAAAGTCACTGGTGCATGTTCACAGGGCTTTTGTGGAGAGGGAAAGGGTAAGAACACAACTGGTTTGCCTCATAGAAGGCTCTCACTCCCACTGAACCCTTCAGTCCTTAGTGACACAGACCAATAACACTGTGGTTATCTACCAGACAGTGTCTTGCAACCCATCGGAAGTGGTAGTGGTGGGGAGTCTTGCTCCCAACCTCTGCGTCTGCTTTGGTCTGACTACACCATTATCCAAAGTGTTTTTAGACCACTATGTATGCAAGCAGTTTTTTAAATCTGCAAAATAATCTAAGCCTGAGAGGAGTTTCTTATATATTAAAGTATCATCAAGATTTCCCTTGGGTCAAGATCAACTTCTTGGCAACTATACAAAAGGGGGTTGCCTCTGTTTTCTTTCAGGAGGTTTTCTTGTCTTCCTAGTTTACCCAACAGCCCCATCCAAGTCCTAATCAAAGCTGCCCCTGCTTAACTTCCAAGATCAGGGCTGCTATCTATTGAGGCTACTTAAACACTAAAGTGGTTCTTTCTAGTGATTATGTATTTGTGTATTGATGTATTTGTGGGGCCCCTGTCATATCTATATAGTTTATCTTTTTGGCTGTTTTAGTCTGGGCTGCGTGTTTATGTGTGTTTATTTTTATTGTTTCTGAATTTTGTAAGCCACCCAAGGTCTAATAGAGTGGGTGACTGTAAATCATCATCATCATCACTCACAAGCATTTTGCACGTGTATAGTTACCTACCACAGGTTTAGCCATGGAACTATATTATCACAGTCTCCATCCCTCCACCCCTAGACCACTTGCAGTTGTTCTCAAGAAATAACTTCTACAAAGTTGCTTCTTGGCAAACTGAACCCCTTAAATCTAATCCCAGAAAAGCGGAAAGTAGATGTGTTAGACCATGGTAGCAAAAAAGTAGGAATCTGGAAGCACCTTTTCTGACTAACACATTTTGTTAAAAGGCATAAGCTTTCATGAGACTCCTGATCTTTCAGAAATTCTTTCCAAGAGGAAAGGTGAGAGAAAAGTGTAAAGGCAGGCAAACATCAAGTTATAGAGCTCAAAATGGGCCCTTTTTTTTAATCTGAAAAGAGACTGAGTACTGTCTACACAGAAGATGACAGCTTCCTTTATTGTGGCCTTACTGGCTGTGTTCGCACAACCTGCTTACCCACAGTTAACTGATTTATGCAATTAATCTAATTTCTGGATTCATGTGATACATAAACCATAATAAACTAATACCATAAACTAATCACGTGGGTGTCAGTTTGCACAACATGCTATGCTACAAACTGGTTGGCTAGCTTCTGCCTCAGTGTGTCGTGTAAACACAGCCACTGCTTTTGCCATTGTATTATATTTAGACCCTGCCTTGTCTTTGGGAGCTCAATGAGGTGTATGTGAGGGGACTTGCTTTATTTTCCTCTCTGCAACACCACCTTTGTGTGGTAAATTGGTAAGCCAAAGTCAGCTATACCTAGTACTCAATGTTTAAATGTAGACTTGAACCATGGACCAAGTCCAGTCTCTTAAACACTGTCTCATATTGACTCTTAAGTTCAGGAAGACAACTTAATAGTCAATGCACAAATCCAGTTAAGGCTACAAGATTGTACCATTTTATATCACGATGGCAGGATCAGTTCCATATCACATCTCTCTGCTTATTCTTGTATGAGGTCAATTTTATATTTGCTCTTAGATTGGGTAGATAGAGTGGGATGCCATTCACTCCCCTGGCAGCATTAAACCTCATTCAACAGATTAAGCCATCTCTCTTGGTCTTAACTAGTCCTGGTCAGAACAGCCAGCAATTATCATCTTCATAGCCATTGCTTGTAACAAAGAGAGATGGTCACGGTCCTTCTTTGTTCAAGAAGAAAGTCTAGCTCAGTTATGGGACCATGATATTTCTGATGGGGAGAACTTTACCGCTATACAGAGGCACTGGGCCAAGCATCGTGCCCCTAAGTTTCCCATCTAGTTTAGGGTTCAGAGGCATGATGGATAATTTCTTTGCTTGATGCTACAAGTATATAGGAATTCACCTGTTGCAAGAATTCTGTATAATGCTCAGTGTAAGAATTTATGCCTCGGCGCCTTTTTAATCCCAGCCTCCACCATTTCCAGGCAACACAGAAACTGCAAAACAGAACTCTGGATTCCTCCCTTACGAGTGTGAAATATTTCAGGAGAACCAAAGCATTTGTTGCCTGGAACTTTATTTTCTGTTCCTCCTCAACTTAACTCTGAAAGAGATTTGCTTTCTCAAACCACGTCTGCCGTCCACCTCAAACAAACAGGCACAGTGAGCGCCCTTGCAAGATGCACTTAGCCAGAATTCAGTTTACTCAAACCCATTTTTTTGAAACTACCCGACATTGCTTCCTGTAGATTGTGCAAATACAGCCAGTAGCGATTGACCCTGGCCTTTGTTTATCCCCACAGACTAGGAATAAGTTATTTATTGTGAGTGCATGCCTGTGCCTGTCTGGTGCAGGCAGCTGAAGAAGTACTCAAGATTTCATCCTTAGCTTTAGGCATCATTTTATAGGGTGGGAAGAAAGTCATTATCTACAAAGAGGATATTCGCCAACCGTCACCCCAATCCCACCAGTTCATCTACCCAACTTTTCAGGCGAAGGGACACGCGGTCACCGTATGGCTACGCTCCAGAGAACAAAGGTTTCCCCCTGTGATTCACGTATGTCTCGGGCGGGGCCGAGTTGGGGGCGACGACAAGAGGGCGGGGACGCCCCGAGGGCTTTTTCCTCGCCCTTCAACCGAAACTCGCCCCCTCCCCCCATCTCCAGGGTGAAGGGGGTTTTCTGCAAAACTAGCGCGCGCCATCAAACCTTCAGGGCGCCACCCAACCCTCGCTCGGATCAGGCAGGGAAAGAGCGGCCCTTTTCCACGGGCGAAAGAGGAGAGCGCGGTGACCCGTAGCCTTACGCAGTTCCCCGCCACCCAGTTCCTAAGAAAAAGGTATTTTGCACCTGACGTTTGTTACGACTTAAAAGAAAACAGAAGAAGAAAAACTCCCAAGGACGGAAAAAAATAATAATAATCGAGATCTATTGTCCGAAACCGACAGGTTGGCATTAAACCCGTTTTTTCTACAGGAGGAACAGCGCTGGAGTTTCAGTACCCGACTCTCGGGGGCGGTGTCTTTTTTAGGTCATACGCTGTATGTGCGTTTATGATCTTTACTATCGATAGCCGCCCAGAGTCATGAATTTGAGATGGGCGGCCATAAAAATCCAATAGATAAATGAAATGAAATAAAATAAATAAATAAATAAAATAAACGCCCCTGCATACGCCGATCACTATATTCAATACAGCTGATTAGAGCTTAGGGTTAACCCCCCCCCCCTCCCCCCGCAAATTAATTTGGAATCGGTAAAAACCAAGCCAGGTCAAGTAGACACCGGCGCGCTCTTCTCGAGCGCCCTAGCTCTCCAAGCAGCCGCTTTTTCCAAACGCACCGCCAGCAGCACGAGGCTCTCCCGAGCGGGGACGGAAAGCGGGAGCCGGGTTCGAATCTCCCTCGTCTGCTCTAAAGCCCCCTAAGTTTGGGGACACAACAGAAGCGTCCTGGCGCCGCTTCCTCACTCCCCGCACCCGGATCCACAAGTTTTCAAGACTGACAAAACTCAGCTTTCATAAAGCTAGATGATCCCGGGCGTTGTAATATACATATGCGAGCGTTTAAACACACACACACGCAGAATGTTTATTTTTATACCATAAAAGCCAAGTATTCCGTCATGCTCATCAAGTTCGGACTCTTACCTGTTCAGTTGGACATAAACTCTCAAATTCGCTTCCACAGCCGGATAGGACGCTGGGCGGGATAAATGCACGCACCTTTCCATATGGGGCCGGCTATATACCCCTCTCGTCCCCCTCATCCCTCCCCAGACCACACCCCTATCATCCCGCGGTGACGTCACCGACAGGTGAAACTGGCGACCTGCGACAGGAAGCGGGAGGGGAAACGAGACCCCAAAGCGAGGGGGGGGGAGGAGGCCGAGGGGAGACCGGCTATTTGGAGAGAAACCAGATCCAACACGCTTTGACTAGTATCGCGGTCCCGCACCTTGACTGGGGTCGAAGGACGAATCTCGGGCTTAAGTGGGGCTTGCCAAAACCTTGCTGGAAGAGATTAGAAGGAACAAGTGAATATTCAGCAGGGACAGCTCTAGGAACTGGTTTCACGCTGAATCTGAACAGCCTGGGTTTCGTTCTCAGGAACTCAGCGAGTGTGCTTTATTTATAAGCCGAAGTTAAGTAAGTCATAGCTGGAAGCACTATGTGAATATGGCCACCCTGGAACCATAGGACGTCTGATGTCCCTCATTTAAAAATGGCTGGGGGTGCTCCTCTTCCTTGGAGCTGACTCCTGCTTTTGTTTTTGGCTGTTATTCAGGTCTTAGGGAAGAGCTGTGCCTTCATTATGATAAGCTTTTTATTACTCTAGGTCCATAAAATCAGGAGGAATCTGTCCTTCTGTCCGTATAATCAGAAGGGGTTTTTCTGTCCCTAAAATCAGAAGGGGTCTTTCTGTCCATAAAATCAGGAGTCTGGTAGCACCTTTTCTGACTAGCAAATTTCATTAAAAGGCATAGGTTTTCATGAGCTGCAGCTCACAAGAACTTGATTCTTTTAATGGAATTTGTTAGCTGGAAAAGGTGCTACAGGCACCTCCTGATTTTTTTTTTTTTTTTTTTTTTGCCACTATAGACTAACATGGTTCTTCTCCTACTCGGTCCGTAAAAGGGACTCAGGTCTTTGTCCTGTTATTTCATTGATTTATTTGCAAAGTGTTCTATCTTTCCCAGCTCCAAAGAGACCTTCAATCAGAGGACCTTGGATTGAGTTTTGGTAAACTGCCTTCACCTGATGAGAGAAAAACCCCTGCTCCCTCATCCAACAGAGGGAAGGTTTCAAATTTGGGCTCCCAAAAGAGTCAGAATATGCAGAGAAGCAAGCCACTGTTTCAGCCTCAGTTTCCTCAGTCTGCAGTATGAATGCAGTATTGGCCTGTCTTACAGGATTGTTGTGAAAAAAAATTGCTTGATAATGCAGGTAGAACATTTAGAAAAAAGTACTATAGGAGTGTGAGTTCTAGTCCTGCCTTAGGTACAAAGCCAGTTGGGTGACCTTGGGCCAGTCACTCATTCTCAGTCCTAGGAAGGAGGCAATGGCAAATCACTTCTGAAAAACCTTGCCAAGAAAACTGCAGGGACTTGTCCAGGCAGTTATCAGGAGTCAAAAAAACTGACTTGAAGGCACCAACACCCCCATTCCCACAAATGGCATTATATTACTGCTGTTGCCATGTCTGAGGTTAATTGATGGCACAGAAAAGATTTGGAATTCAACAGTTCTAGTGCTTCCTGTCCTCTTCGTGTGCTCAGACGCACTGCTATTCAGACATGTCAGGGTTGAACAGAGATATTTATAACAGGTTTGGGGGATCAACTCTGGAGATTTGTGCTTCAGATTAAGCCTGTGTTGTAAGAATGCGTGTATAAGAGTCATCGATTCCAGACTTACCATTAGACAAAGTGGGGCAATGTCTTTACTGACAGATAATGGGTCCAGGGATCAGGAATAAGAGGCTGGGGCACATGGTTGATATAGCCTGCTCTGTGCCCCCTAAATGTCCCCTAAGGTAGCCTGCTGATTTCTCCTGGGTTGCCCGCTTGTCATGTTGAAGTAAGATTTGACTGTTGGTATCAGCCTTTGTACATGAATTGGGTGGGGGGTGTTTTCTCTTTTGCTTCAGGCAGCAAAATACCTTGTGCAGATCTTGAGCGTATGTGTGTTGGTGTATGGAGGTATAAGTGAATGGTGTGTGTCAGTAACTCCTCCCTCCCATTGGCATGTAATTCCCCATGGGTTTGCACAAAGGAATGCATTCCCTGGGAGAAAAAAAGGCTCCCTCCCTACTTCTCTTTTGAACATAAAAATAACCTGTGCCAAATCAGACAAAAATCCGTCTGACCCAGCATTCTGTTTGCCCCAGTGGCCAATCAAGCACTTCCAGAAGGCTCAGTTCTTCCCAGAAGACTGGTGCTTAGAGATACACCTCCAAACATGGAGGTTTTCCTTAAATAGCTGGAAGCCGCCGCCCTCCATCCCCCCCCCTTCCCTTTAAAAGGCATCAGAGCAGGTAGGCATCCCAGTTTGAGGCAGCAAATTCTGAAAATAAGAGAGCAGTCCTCAAGGTGTGTCCCCAGCAGTTTGCTCTTTTGGACTGTAAAGGGACTTCAGTCTCCAAGTGTGCTTAGGAACACAATGAAGAGTTAACTTGGAGACCACTGAAGATCTACATTCCTGAGTTTCTGGGACAACAAGGAAGTGAATAAGAAGATTGGGGGCTGGGAGTCCAAATCCTTTTTGGGAGGAACAAACAACAGATCTAAGAGTTATATACAGGTTAAAGCACACGTGGAAACCTGCTGACCAAAATGCTTTTGAGTGTGTGTGTGTATGAAGCTCCTTTCCTTTACTAGGGAGTGACACCAGTTATCCTTCATTTGAGATGAGGCTAAAGACTTTAGGGGTGCAAATTGTGACTGCATTTCCTCATCCGGCTAAACCACAAAGTGGTTTGTTTGGCTTTAGCAGGGAATGAACATGCAAATCCCGCCTGAGCGTCAAGTTGATTCAACACTGCATCATTTATTTATGAATTTATTTATTTATGGTAAGCTTATGTTAGATAAATGTAGCATTGTGGCTTTGATCAGGGTGCAAGCCTGTGTGTCAGTTTCTTGGGATTAGATATCTAAAGAAAAGAAAGTAAGTGTGTGTGGGTGTGTGTGCAGGGGTTGAATAACCCCCTGGTGGGTGTAAAACTGTCCCCTTTCTGGGCATGACAATGAATGTTTCAAATGGATACAGCTAGGAGATCCGGCGCTTTCATTCCTGGGATGCGAAAAGGGAGAAGCAGAAAAAGGAGAAGGAGAAGGAGAAGGAGAAGGAGAAGGAGAAGGAGAAGGAGAAGGAGAAGGAGAAGGAGAAGAAGCGGAACAGAAAAGTGGAAGCTGTTCAGAGACCGCAGAAATGAGGGGTGGGATGTCTGTGGTTTAACAACAGCAGCCTAGGGAAAATCAACAAAGAGAGATTTCTCTAGCACCTGTGTTTGACCGATGTGTCAGTTAGAACTAACCCAAATGCCTCAAAATAGTGAAATAACTTGCAATTTTTCCATAGTTCACCATCAAGAGTGATGAAAGATGACACAAGGGTTATGCTGTTTTGTAATGTTTAGTTAGTCCTAAACTGTTTATTGCCTTAACTATGCACTTTGTTTTTCTCATGGACTGGTATAGCTAACCTTAGCTTTTATATTTTCCCTGAGTTTCCCAGGGATTATTTTCTGTTTTATGGCAACTTTTTAGAACATCAAACTTCTGTTTGTGAAGAAAACATCATGGAATGTGGCTGTATTAATTGCCATAGCAATTCCTGAGTTTGCATCACACACAAAGCCCTAATGATCCCTCCGGAGGGGATCCCAGGAAGACTGACCAGGCCCCGTGGTCATGAAATGCTGATCAAGTTCCTTTCTCCACAATGACTTTCTACCCCAGGATTTTTCAGACTGGTTTTCAAGGAACTGAAAATGGTGCTGCAAAACCTTGATGGGTTCTGTGAGAAACTAAGGGGGGGAAAAAGTTCACTCGAACCCAGCCAATTTTCTGGGCCTAGAGCAATGTTTCTCAACCTTGGCAACTTGAAGATGGGTGGACTTCAACTCCCAGGATCCCCCAGCCAGCATGCCTTTCTCATGCCTTTCTATTCTTGCAAACCATCTTTGCTTCCATCACATCCATATGCTGCTTTGTACACTGCCTTTGTTCTTTAAACTCCATCCAACCACTTTCTCCCCCCAGTCTTCCCCTTCATCCTGAGTCATTCATATCCTTGTTTTGTGATTAAGTGGCATCTGCAGGTGAGGGTCAAAATCTGCAAGGTTGTGGGTGTGGTGTCACAATCCAAGCCCCACTCCTTTTCTACATGTATCATTCATGCACATATAAAAGGGGCAGGGCTTAGAAGGTGATGCTTGAAGATTTTGACTTCCCCATGGACACCTGTATTGTGATTTGTCCTCATTCATTTGTCCATAAAGAAAACAAGTAAACAAGGGTACATTGCACACACTTGCCTTAGTTCCTGCTCAATTTTGAACCATTTCCTGAGTATCAGTTTATTCTCACACATGCTTTAGCTCCAACATGTACTGTTCTTACCTCATTTGGAAACCAACCTTCAACTCCATAATGGCACAAAACATTCCATAATTTGAGGCTATACTGTACACTTTACAGGTAGTCCTCATTTAGCAACTGCCTCATTTAGTCACTGTCTGCAGTTACAGCAGTGATGAAAAAGTAACTTTGTGACTGATCCTTGCATTTATGACCTTTACAGGTCTGTAAAGCAAAGGAACGCTGAAGTAAGGTTGTAAACACAACTGCAGTTTCACTTAGTGACTGCTTTGCATAACGACCGAGTTGCTAATCCCAACTGTGGTCATTAAACGAGGACTACTTGTATTGTATACCTTCTATGAATCAAGAAACACACATTTTCTTTTTCACTTCCATACATTTTTCCACAACCTGCTGAAGACCAAAAGTCTGTTCTACGAGCTCTGCTTGGTATAAATTCATACTGCAGTTTCTAAATGTCCTCACTGTCACCTCTCATGTCCTTCCAATCAACATTCTGTCACGTATCTTTCCGGGCAACTTAACAACCTAAACACTTCTTACTATCTTTCCCTCTGCTTAAGGTAACAATAATGGCATTCTTCTAACTGTCAGGTACCAATGTTTGCACATGTATTAAATAAGAGTTATATATTGAGATGGGTGACTAT